TTGATCTAGTAAAAAAATATACGATAAATGATAATCTAAACGACACTTAAAAAGAAAATGGAGGAAGTAGTTAATGTTTGAGAGAGTTGGATTCATAAGGTAAAAAAACTGAAAAATTAAAATAGATTTAATATCCAAATTCCAAAGTGACAAATAAAATAAATATAAAACATCTCTAATTAATAGTAACAAATACTGCTATTGTTCCTAAATATGTGTCGTTTTTTACAATTGCACAAATTTTAAAAAACTCAATAAATACGTCTTGATTTTAAGAAAATTGATATTGATAGCCCAAAATACCCTTGTTTATTAATTAATGCAAAGACAACGATAGGGAGTTAATAAAAGCATAATTGAAAAATATGTAAGTAATACAAAATTGAAATTCAGAAGTGACAGATTAAATGAAGATTAAATGAAACAAAAGCTTTCTCAAAAATGATAGATAGATGTTGTGAAATTAGGTTGGAATAATTCAAATTATTAGTGGTGTTGAAATGTGAGTAAGAAAAATCACATTTTTCAAGGACTAATAGTGAAAAAGAAGAGAGGGGCTTGTCATGTTGGCAAATCCATTATTAAATTAATTTAATCCTTTTTTTTTTTTTTTTTTTTAATTTATTTTTAGTCCTTTTTGAGTTCTTTATTGAAGTTTGGAAGCTTTAACTTTCTCTTTCTATCACCTCAATCCAGGTCTTTTCTTATGCCCATTTTTTTTTTCTCTTCTTTTCTTGAAATCTCCCATGTGAAGTTCATTATTTTTTGGTCCAATATGTTACAACATTTTCTCAATTTCTTGAATCATCTGATCATATAGCTTCCTATAGGCAACACTGCCTCATCTTTCTTTTCATCTTATTAAAGCAACAATATGCAACGTTTTAATATGGAACACTCTCATTCCACGTTGGTTATATACAAGTTTGTAAAAAGCGGTAATCGGGTTCGAGTCGGTCAGGCACTGACTTACGATTAATTGGTGCGGCGGTGATTAATCGGAAATAAATCGATTTTTAAAATTTAATATAATATATTTCTAAATATTATTTATAAATACTCCAAACATATATAAAAAGATATTTAAACATAATTATATCTCCATCATGTATATATCCTAATAAGATAATAAAAGTTTAATAATTATAAAATCATAATACATAAATATCCTTATAAAATATAAATAAAAAAAACATTTTTTTTAAATTTACATTTCTTCTTGAACATTCCTTGTATACATCATTAGTTCTTTAACAATAACAATTAGCATAAACAAAATAAGGTATAAACTCATATTTTCTTTTATTAAAATCCAACTTTTATTTTGAATTGTAAAAAAAAAAAAAAAAAAAAAACCGATTTTTAACCGATTTTTGCCACCGAGTTTGACCCGCCTTAAAGGTTTGACCGCCTCAGACCACCTCGAACCGCCTCAGTCCGCCTAAAACCGCCTCACAGACAAAAAACGATTTTTCAAACCTTTACACTAAAATCGTAAAGGTTTTGGACCGCCTCCGCCTCGGAGACCGATTAATCGACCGCCTCGGCCGATTTTTAGAACAATAGTTATATATAGGAGCTAAAATCGGACGGCTCAGAGTGAAATTAGCATTTTCGGAAGAAGAAAAAAAATCTTTCTTTCTTTCAGAAGTGAAAAAGTAATTCTAGTTCCCTTTAGAAATAATTAGAAATTTATAATGAAAAATTATGTTCTAAAATTGGAAAAAAAAATTGAGCCATAGTCGGGGAAATTCAAAACATTGTTAATTTTTAGTCACCTATAATATGAAATACATACATAATAATGTTGATGTTATAAGTGTAGTTTTGGGGGGGGGGGGGGGGGGGGGGGCGAAAATCTTGGATTTTTTTTTTTTGAAAAAATTAAATATGGGTTTTGGTAAATTTTCCAATTTTTTTTTCAAAAATATTTTTTAAAACGGGGAATGGAAATTGGAAATGGAAATGAAAAATATTGTTCCAAATTAGGAATTTCATATCAAATTCGGAAATTATGTTTCAGTTTCCACCTCTAGTTATATGTTGAGAATGTTTTCAGTACGATATTCTATTTGCCGAATGATGTTGGTAGTTTCATAACTCATATGTAATTCCCAGTAACTTTCCATCTGTTTATGTGTATATTAATCCGAAAATCTCGCTTCCCATTTAACACCCCATAATTATCTTTCTTTGCATTATCTATTTCTATTTCTCAATTCTTTGTTTACATTTTTCTACATCACCTTATTTCTCTAATCACCAAACCAAAAAGTTAGATTAAATAGACCATTTTACACCAATAATGAAACTTTTAGAATATTAGTAATGAAAATTTTCTAATTAAAAATATAAATAGTAATTAAAGAAATCTTTGTTGAAGATTTTAAAACTATTTTATAAGTTGTTTCCTTACATTTTAAACTTGCTTATAACACTTCCTAACAACTTATTTTTGAAGAAAGGGAAAATTAATAGATACCAACACTATTTAAATGTTATACATGATATTCTTTTATTAATTGCACCGACCATAAAAAAAAAGTTTTCTTTGGCACATTTCACTACAATCCAAAGACTTGCTCTTCCACAATAACAAACCAAAATCACTAAATCCGCAGGAGATGGTCTAGCGGTTGGAGCAAGTGAGTTTGTGTCAGTTAACTCAAGTTTTAATGTCTTTGCCAACAATCGCTAGGTCGAGCTTGTCACACATGATTTACATCTTTCGTATAACTTGCAAGCTATTATACGAGAGTGTAAGTTTACCCAACGCACCCATACTGTTGGCTGCAGATTCTTTATTAAAAAAAAAAAAAAAAAAACCATAATCACCAAAATTCATTAACATTGTTACTTTTATTTTCCTTTAATGATCAAGTCTACCCTCTTTTGATTGATTAAGATAACAATATTCCAATTACCTTACCTAGAGGAAGAAAGAAAAAGGGACCACCTTCAAAGATTTTCTACAAACCCAAGATATAATTAGATTAGACAAGATTGATTAAAATCAAGAAAAAGAAGTCAATGTACCAACTTTAATTGATAGGGATCATATAGTTAAGTATGGATATTAATATTGTTAATCACATATTAAAATATTTTAGGTGGCACTAAAATAAATAAATAAATAGAAAATTGCATAGTACAAGGTTAGATTAGTGGGTTAGTGGTCCTCACAATCACGTGTAATTTGAACCATGCCTAAGGAGTAAGGGAAGTATCTTGTAATAAATAACATTCCTCAAACTTTAAGCCTTGAGATTGATGCCTTAATTAAGATTGTAATAATATACATATTATTATATTATTTATTTATTTTCATTTATTTTTCTTGATTTTAATCGATCTTAGCCCATTTGAGTTGTGGGCCGTTCTAATATAATTAATAAATAAAAAATGTCAATAAAACGCATTTGAGGCCCAATCCAAGCCCATAAATTTTCTATAGTATTTTGCTTCAAATATCTCTACTTTGTCACGTATATGAAAACAATAAATACATGTATGCATAGTTATATGGGGAATTAAACCCACGACCTATAATGGAAGCAAAATATCTTTATCACCTCAACTAATAATATTTTCTGTTAATTTATGTACAACAGTACTATTTGTTAAAATCAAGGGGTTACCCTAGACCATAGCCAGATCCGCCACTGTATATGTACATATTATCTCGGCATGTAAAAGGGAGTGTCGGGGAAGATTTTCCCAGCGTAAGCACTCTGACAGTCAAGTAAATCGGATAGAGCGGAAAACAATGATGTATCTCTAAGAGAGATAAATATGGTGTATTGAACTTAAAATAGAGAGAGAAAGAACTATCTTTCCCTTCCATTCCACGGTTGTATTTATGCTTGCCATGGGGAATGAGACCCCTGTCTTATCAAGTCACGATGCATGTGACTGCTGCGACATTATTTTACCAACTGAAGGTGAGTTGTTTCCTCTTATTGAGACATGGGTCGCTCCGTGAATGCTCTTAACTGCTCTGAGCTAGCTCGTTTGTAGGCTTGCTTAGAGGCTCGTTGTTGGTTGATGGACCTCTTTTCAGTCCATATTACAAGTTTCCGCCTATGTCTCTGACATTTGAACGAATGTAGTCAAATTCGTCGCTTACACATGCACACTGTGTAGCTATTTGGTAGCATTTAGCAGTTGTAGTGAGTGAGACGACATTAGACCTAGGCTACCCTTGGGCTTTGTGTAAGACTTCTAATTCAATATGGGCTTTGAGCATTTGGGCCAGTATGAAACACATATTTTGTTTATCTTCATTTCTGTATTTCGTTTATATAATTATTTATGATAGATGTCGATTATGTGGACGACTTGACTTTTTTTTTAGATTCACAATGAGTCATTGGTGAAATTCATGCAAGTGATCTTTATAAAAGCCAATGTTCTTATTTTTCTCAAATTTATTGAATTTTCAAAAAAAAAAAATCCAAAACTTTCTAAAAATTCAAAAAAATTGTGTGATTTTTGAAATCTGATAATTTCGAAACTTTTGGAATTGGAATGATTATCTAGACTCTAATTTTTTTGAAATTGGAATTGGAAGCGGTTTTGTATCGCCGAAAAAAATGAATCTTTTTTTTTTCAAAGGAATCCATTCCAACTTCCATCCTGAGTTTCACACCTATAGGGCTATAAAGGGTGATTAAAACTTGATTCGAGTTTCTAATTTTTTATAATTTTTTTACAATTTAGTCGACACATTTTAGGATTTCTATTTAAACGGGAGACTTAGAAGTTAGAACTTACATTTTTGGACAATTTTACAAAGACCGGTGATATTTCCACCACCAAATTATCTCAATTTACCACCAAAAATTGTAAAATATCATAAATACCCCTCAAATTTATAATCCACCACCCTCTCTTATTTTAACTTAATTCTCACGTGTTCTAACTTATTTTTATTTTATTATTTTATTATTTTTTTAATTTTTAATTTTTCTATTTTTTTTATTTTTTTTTAATTTTAATTTTATTTTTTACAATGAAAATATTTATTACCAGATATTTAAACTTTCATATTAGATGACCAACATAATATGATTTTTTTTTAAGAAATAAAATTATATTAAGTCGAATTGGCCAATTCTTGTGGAAGTACAGGACCTCCCATACAAGCAAACTTAATTTATTTCTCCCAAAACGTGAATTCCTACTCTTTTTGATCTTCAAAATTGTTTTTCTGACGAAAGTATTATTCACTAAGGTGGAGAGAGTGTTTCCCGTAAAAAGGGTGCGATTTTTTTTTTTTATAAATATTTTAATTAGTTTAGTGGTAAATGGTTTATAAATTTGTAAAAAATATAAGTGAAAGAAGAAGAAATGGCTAAAATTGGAAATTTATTTATTTTGTGGTGATATAAAATATTTTGAGGGTGGAAATAACACTGTCTCTTTTACAAAATAAAGGGTTTTAAGGGATTAGTTATACAATTATAATTTTAAAGTAATATTGTTTTTACCGATTGATATTCCACGTGGTGCTAGAATCTTGTGTAATTGTATATACGATGATGCAAGATTATTACATGATTGTAATAATATTTTTGACATCATTGTAGTATAGTTCCATTATTTTAGTAACTTATTTTACTAGATTAAACTTCATTTTTAGTATTTTTTAATTAAAAATAATAAATTATTTTCAGTTAGCCAAAGTCACATTGATGTGGCAATAAGCAGTTGTGTTCACATGTTCTATTTGTAGCACTTAAGACAAAGGCTCCTCCTCTTGATTAAAACTAGGTTGTTAAATCATTTATTTCACATAATTATTACAAAGAGACCCCTCAAAAGTTCACCTTCATAAATCAAATACATTCACAAAATCCACACACACACACACACACACAGTGTTTTTTGGAACTTCTAAAAAACAAACAATAAACAGAGCAGCACTCTTTTCCACACAAATTATAAAGAGGGGGTGGGGGTGGGGGTGGGGTTGTGAATTAAGCTGCTTTTTAGCTTATTTTGAATGGGAAGATCATCAAAAGCAAAAGTTCATTCCTCTCTGCTTTTGCTTTTTTCCTCCAGCACTCTCTTTATGACTATCCCATCTTCAAATAAAGCTACAAATATACACACATTACTATGTGAGAATTGGAGAAAAGCTAATTCCTGTTTGTGCTTCTCCCATGCAAACTGTGAACACACTTCACAATTATTTTACACACACACATAACACACAACACACATACACATATGTATCTATCTATCTATATATATATATATATATATATATATAGATACATATTGTAATCATATAATAATAATCAACAATTTGTACTTGTCTCTTACATTCCCCTGCTGTAGTTGCAGGCACATTTCTCCAACTCTCTCCTCTCTTTATTTTTTTACCATTGGGAAATCGAAATTCGAAGCAGAAAACATTATTACCCTTGAATGTCTGCAGATTAACACAAATCATCAAAATACACAAACTACGTGTCTTCAAATACCCGATTTTTTCTTTCATAGTACTGTCAAATGCTGCTCACGGGTTTACACTATAATATACGTGTGCGTGCATATTACGTATAGCCTCGGAGTTTTCATAAATTCAACATGCTTAATATGAATATTAGCCTGAAAATCCTAAGGTGGATATAACTCATTCAGAAAGAAGATCCAAAAACAGTTGAAAGGGGAGCTAATTTTTTTCTGCAAGAGGACTTAACCAAATACCCACAAATATTATAGCTTGAATAAAAATGCATACTTCACTAAACCACAATTGCCAATGTAAAGTTCTTATGATGTCATTATCATTAATCTTTGGTCCTAAATGAATACTACACGAATATCGTTGTAACAGAAGCATGAATAATAACGAGCACGCACTTTTTTTTCCTTTGCAACTTGCTCCCTAGAAAATAGGACTACTCATTTTATCAGGAATGTGAAAGCCACCTCAGCCATTCCCGATTGCTCAAAGTGCAATTTCATCATAGCCGTTTGATTAAAGAACGATGGACTATTTGATCATAGCCATAAAGAGGGAGCAAGAAAGAAAGTGAAAGAATCGACTTTACTTTTCTTTTTCCTTTTTTTTTTTTTTTTTTTTTTATTGTAAAGCTTACGATCGAACTATGTAGAACAAAAGTGGAGGATTACCTTCTGCCTTGAAGTTGAGGACTCCCTTTTCTTTTTTCCAGGAAAATCAATTATCTGGCATCATCTTGAAAATCCTTAATTTGTTCTTCAAGAAAACCATCTCCAAGAAAAACATGGTGCACATTGTCTTAACACTAACACTCCTCGTACTTACATGCACTTGCTCAGTTTCGTCCTCACTCATTTCCGATTTCCACGCATTAATCTCGTTAAAACTCGGGTTTCATTCCTCCAATTATGCTATAGCCACTTGGGATTCTTCTAAACCCACCGCACTCTGTTCTTGGAGCGGAATCAAATGCTTCAACAATCGAGTAACCCATCTAAACCTCTCGAATATGGCTCTGTACGGCTCCATTTCCCCTGCAATTTCGAGGCTCGACAAGCTGATCGAGCTCTCCATAGATGGAAACAACTTCACCGGCGAAATCAAGATCGAAAACATGAGCAGCCTTCGGTTTGTCAACATATCAAATAACCAGTTCAATGGGAATTTGGATTGGAATTACTCGAGCCTCGGCAATGTACAAGTGCTCGATGCGTACAACAATAACTTCTCTGCTTATCTGCCGACTGGTTTGTTGAGTTTAAAGAATCTCAAGTACTTGGAATTGGGAGGAAACTATTTCCACGGTCGAATCCCTAAGAGTTATGGCAATTTGATGGAACTGGAGTATTTATCACTGGATGGAAACGATCTTGAAGGGAATATTCCGAAAGAATTAGGCAATCTCACTAATTTGAAGCAGATTCGTTTGGGATCTTACAATGTATACAACGGTGGAATTCCACGGGAATTTGGGAAGTTGGTCAATTTAGTGCACATGGATATTTCGAGCTGTGAATTGGACGGTACAATTCCTCTGGAATTGGGGAATTTGACGTCGCTCGACACTCTGTTTCTGCATATGAATCGACTATCCGGGCCAATCCCGAAGGAATTAGGTAACTTGACAAACCTCGTAAATCTTGATCTTTCTGTCAATGCATTAACAGAAGAAATCCCATACGAATTCGTAAACCTTAAGCAAATCAAGCTTCTCAAACTGTTCATGAACAGATTGCATGGCTCGATTCCGGACTTTATATCCGATTATTCCGAGCTGGAAACTCTCGGTCTTTGGATGAACAATTTCACCGGAACTATCCCGAGGAATCTTGGCGCGAATCAAAAGATCCAAGACTTGGATTTGTCTTCAAACAAACTCACCGGTACAATTCCGAAGCACTTGTGTGCATCGAAACAGCTCAGAATCTTGATTCTACGAATAAACTTTCTTTTCGGCTCGATACCTGACGACTTGGGCGAATGCTCGAGTCTTGTGAGGGTGCGGTTGGGGCAGAACTACTTCGACGGCGGAATTCCGGGCGGGCTCATTTACCTGCCCGAGATAAACTTTCTTGAACTCCACAACAATATGTTATCTGGGATCCTGTCTGAAAACCGTAAATCTTCTTCGTCTAACCAAACTAAATTATCCCAAATTAATCTTTCCAACAATCAGCTTTCGGGTCTATTGCCCTCTTCCCTTTCGACCTTTTCTTCCCTCCAAATCCTCTACCTTAATGGGAACAGATTTTCCGGTCAAATCCCTCCTTCTATAGGTGAACTCCACCAAGTAGTAAAGCTCGATCTTCGAGGAAATGCTCTTACAGGCAAAATCCCACACGAAATTGGGAAGTGTTTGCATCTTAACTATCTTGACCTGAGTCAGAATAACCTTTCCGGATCAATACCCGACGAGATATCTAATATTCGAATATTAAGTTACTTCAATGTATCGAGGAACAATTTGACCGAGTCAATACCACAGTCAATCGGCTCCATCAGAAGCCTCACAACCATTGATTTCTCGTTCAACAATCTCTCTGGGAAGATACCGGAATCAGGGCAGTTCTCGTTTTTCAATGCATCTTCATTCGTGGGCAATCCACAGCTCTGCGGGGCCATATTGAACAACCCCTGCAATCTTACAACAATCACAAACCAACGTACAAAATCCCACAACGGGTTCAAACTTATGTTGGCTCTGGTGCTGTTTGTATGCTCCATAGTATTTGCAACAGCAGTTATCAAGGCGAAACCGTTCAAGAGAATCGGATCGAATTCTTGGAAAATGACCGCCTTCCAGAAGGTCGATTTCACCGTTTCGGATATTCTTGAATGTGTGAAAGATGGGAATGTCATTGGCAGAGGAGGAGCTGGGATTGTCTATCACGGCAAAATGGCTAATGGTGTGGAAATTGCGGTGAAGAAACTCGTGGGATTCCACGGTGTAAACAACAGCCACGATCACGGATTTAAAGCTGAGATACAAACACTAGGTAACATCAGGCATAGAAACATTGTGAGACTCATCGCATTTTGCTCGAACAAGGACACGAACTTTCTTGTTTACGAGTACATGAGAAACGGCAGTTTGGGCGAGGCGTTGATGAACGGGAAAAAGGGCGGGTTTTTGAGCTGGAATTTAAGGTACAAAATTGCGATCGATGCTGCTAAAGGGTTGTGCTATCTGCACCATGATTGCTCGCCTTTGATCGTGCACCGGGATGTGAAATCGAACAACATTCTGTTGGATTCGAGCTTCGAAGCCCACGTGGCGGATTTCGGGCTGGCCAAGTTCTTGGTTGATGGAGGTGCTTCACAGTGCATGTCCGCCATTGCAGGGTCTTACGGTTACATTGCTCCAGGTACCGATTTTTGTCTGCCAACAAAATCACGAAAACATCGGTTTCTAATTATTCCACATATTAATTAATTACTTAGAAATTAAAAAAACAAAATTACGAATTGCCATTGTAGAATACGCGTACACATTGAGGGTAGACGAGAAGAGCGACGTGTACAGCTTCGGAGTGGTCCTCCTGGAGCTCGTCACCGGCCGCCGCCCCGTCGGAGAGTTCGGAGAAGGCGTGGACATCGTGCAGTGGGTTAGGTGTTCGACGAATTGCCGCAGAGAAGATGTCACCCGTATCATCGACCCACGGATCACCGTCGCGCCCAAGGATGAAGCGATGCACTTGTTTTTCGTCGCCATGCTCTGCGTCCAGGAAAACAGCGTCGAGCGCCCCACCATGAGGGAGGTTGTGCAGATGCTGTCGGAGTTTCCCCGCTCCTCGCCGGAATTGCAGTCGTCTTCCTCCGCGATCAGCCACCAACCGCCGCAGCGCCACCACCAAAACGGCAAAAACCCTGATGAGAAAATTCGACCGGATCTCTTAATTTGAAAATTAATAATCTCATAATTAATTAAACTTTTTCTTTTTTAATCTCTTAATTTGTAATATGGGGTTTGATTTATTTCTACAATTATTAAAAAGAAACGATTAAATATAATTGCATAAATTACAATTTTAATTAATTAAACATATTGACAATTAAGTCGAGTTAATGAATAGACAAAATACCCTCTTAAATTTACGCTCTCTTACTCCACCAACTAGACCATCTCTTGTAGGATTCTTAAAACTTACGATTTACTTATATCAGTGGTATTACGTAATGCATTATAACATTTATACAACTACACCAATGAATACACCTAACTGAATTCACTCGAAACACAATCCGAATCAAATTAGAAGGATGAATAGAGAAACATAATATAAGCAAAAGAAATTATTCGACGAATTCATCGAGTCTAGCTAATGTTGAATTTAATCAATTTAAGTAGTTAGAAGTATTAGCATTTTTATTCTTTTTCTATTGTTGCATTAGTTGACTCTTTTGTAATTTCTATATAAATAAATTAATTAATTTGTATTAGTAATTATTATCTAATTATCTATTTCAAAATGTATATTAATTTTGATATAAATTGAAATCATGGCGGGAAACTGTGCTTCATGTATATGGGCACAATTTTAGGCCCATAACCAACCTAAAGAAAATGGCCCAAGTAGTTGATAATTATCTTTTTATTGGACTAGATAAAATAAATTGAATGAGCTAAATCAAATTATCATATACTAGCAATTCTTCAGGTGCGATGCACGGCTAGTATTACAAAAAAAATTATATGATAATTAAATTGTATTATAAAATAAATTACACTATATTAAAATAATTAGTTATGAAATTTAAATTACTTAAATAACATTAATATTCCTACAAATGTGATCACACAAATCGTAACAAAACACATAAATTAATCAAGTCACCGGACTTCTATTTAGTATCTATCCGTAAGAAATATTAAACACAAAATAAATTGTTTACCAAAAAAAGAAAACGAAAAAAAAACTATATGCAAGTGGATTAGGATTTTGCTAGCCGATTTGTAAACTGATTTGCAACGACGAAGTCATTAATTAGAGAAAAAAAAAACTCGAAAATAAAAGATGTAATTAATTTTAATTTTTTTTTACAAATATGCCACTAGAGATTCGTATGAATGTTGATATTGTTAGTGTAATTTAAATACCACTAATAAATCTAAATATCCTTAATAAATTTAATTTTAATAGTTCAATACATTTTCGTATTATATATTTCACAAACATTAACAATATTAAAAAAATATTAACGTACAGTTAAACCTCTATAAATTAATAAAGTTGGGACTAACAAAATTCTATTAATTTAGCGAAATATTAAATTATCGTACTAATAATTTAGTAGGTTTTTACTCAGTCAGTATTAAAACAAATTGCTTAAATATTTAAGCGATATTATTAATTTATCGAACTTCTACTCGGTCAATAGGAGACAAACAAAGTTTGACCGTCCTAGTTGACTAAAAACACAAAAAGATTCCGCCAACGAAGCAGAGCAACTTGCCGTTTAAACCCTGATTTACTTGGTGCTAATCCAACGGCAAAGGGGCGCTTGTCTCCTGATGGAGGAAACAATCTCAGCCGTCAGATCTCCCCAAGGGTTTTAGTCACAGTCCCCCCCACCCACCTCAATTTACACACGCCTCCCTTCTGTTCATTCCTTTCTCTCTCTAACCTCTCTCTCATCTTTCTCTCTCTCTGTGTTTGAAAAAAACCCGCTCTGCTCTGTCGAGAGGAAGAAGTAACCCAACTGAACAGGTCCGTTTTTTTTTTTTTTTCTTTTCCCGCACGTTTCTATTACAAAGCTAAGGATTTTGTCTTGTAGTTGCCCTTTTTTTTTTTTTTTTTTTTTTTTTTTTTTTTTTTTTTCTCATCACGATTTCAAATGGGTAGTGGGATTCAGAAACAAAATTATTCCATTTCTTACCGTTATTTCTCAAATTTTTGGTGTTTTTCTTAAAAGCATAAATTTCGTGCATTTTCCACTCTTTTTCGATTCGTTTTTGACATAATAGAAATGGGTTTTTTTTTTTTTAATAAAAATAAAAATAATAATAAGAATAATAATAATATCTCAGAAAATATAACAGTTATATATATATGAATGGAGGGGCGCATTTTACTAATAAGTCAAATGAAATTCGTGCATTTTTTGTTTGGATGAGATGAATTTGTGGTTACTGGTTTTTATTACAGTTTAGAGGTAAAGATTTACTCCATTTATAGAGGGCTAAAGAGTCTTCGATTTTTTCGGAAAAAAACCGATATCTTCGGTTGAAAAAATATCCCACATTTCATGGGATTCAGGCTCTCCCTTTTTGACATTAAAGAAAAATATCTTTCGTGTTTATAGAACTCGAGAGCCACGTCGTCGTGTTCGATGGCCGTTTGTTCCATGTTGCTCAAAAGTTAAGTAGTTCTTTCATACGAATATATATGTCGAAATGCATAAATGGACAAAGAATCTCGATCCTTTCTATCGGTTTATGTTTGAAGAAAAGAATCCCCTTTAGCAAGGGAGGGGGGTATCGGTTTTCTTTATCCGTGATACGTAGATATTACGGTTACGGCCTTACGGGAATGTTTTGAATTCATCGAGTAAATATTCGGTTTAAAAAAAAAGGTATTGGCCCCCGTTCTTAACAGTTTTTGTTTTTGCGGTTTTTCGTTTCTTGTAGGTTGAAAGGTTAATTTTGGACATATAAAATGTCTGGGGAGAAGAATGTCGAAGCACGTACGGTCTTTTTGCTTTTTAATCTTTACGATTACGTTTTTTTTTTTTTATATATTTACTTTATGAGTTGTCGTATAATTTGCCCTAACATGCACTCGGTTTTGCAGCTGAGCTGATAGCGTCGGGTCCTAATTCTGATTCCCCAGTCAAACTATCTGAAAAGGATATGGTAAATCTCGGTTATATTAATTAATTTTCGGTGTCGCAAATTTTTTGAGCTTATCTTATTTCATAATTCCGATTTATTTTTTCCAGGGTAAAGATGGAATTCCATCTAATTCAATTTCTTCGGTATCTGCCGTGGCCAATCAAACGCCCTCTTTAGAGCAAGGTGTTTATTATCCACCTGCCAACTATTACGACTATTACTATCCAGGTAAAATACGAATTTTATTAGTTTTTTAATTTTTAAATTTTTTTAAAATTATTTTTAATTGTTTTATATATTTCTACAGCTGGATACAATGGCACCTTTGCACAACCCGACGACAAAGGTTACTATAACGCAGCAGGTGGTTCTTACACAGTACGTTCTTGCCCTTCTTCCTGTCTATAAATATATCTTGCGATGTTTTATTATTTAAATTACGGGTTTTTTGTTTTAATTAATTTTTTTAATTTTTATTTTTATTACAGGGTATTCAATCAGACAATGCCTCGATGCTTTATTACCTGCCTAGCTACGGTCCGTATACAGCTGGATATATGGGCGTCGATGGAAAACCGAATTACACGTCATCAGAATATCTTCAACAGCCTTGCGCTTATGGATCGGAAGCATTTCCGTATTATTCATACGGTTCGTCTTATTTGGGGAATGGTTCGGTTGCCAGTGGCTCGGGGAAATCGAACGGATATAATAACAATAATAATAATAACATTGCGAAAACAAATACGAACCTCTCGAGCAAGACTTTGCCGTTTAATTCGAAATTCCAGCACTCTACGAACTTTTCGAAACCCGTGTATCAAAATCAGCATCTGAAGCCACTGAACAAGGCATGTTTTCGTTGTATAATCTCCGTTTATGAATTCATTTTTATTTTTATCATGCAAGATTTTCTCATATTCGTCCTCGATAATTCAAATAATTGCAGTTAGGTCCCGGTTTCAACGCTACTTCCAAGCTCTCGTCGTTCGCAAACCACCGAAACCTCGGTTCCTACATGCAATACAGTCCCGTGAATTACCAATCCAACACTCGATCATGGTACAACAACAACAACAACAGCAGCTACAGGTACAACAAGCCACGAGAATCTTTCGGGAGAAGCGCGGAAAACGAGGAGCTGACGCGGGGCCCACGATCCGAGAGTAGGACCACTTCTCCGAAGGTGGCTTCGGAGGAGGAGCAAACGGATAAGTACAACTCGCGTGAGTTTCAGACGGAGTACGATAATGCAAAGTTTTATGTGATAAAATCGTACAGCGAGGACGACGTTCATAAATGCATAAAGTACGATGTTTGGTCGAGCACTCCGAATGGTAATCAGAAATTGGATGCTGCTTTCAGTGAAGCCGGTGCTAAAACGAGGGAAACAGGCGTAAACTGTCCCGTTTTCCTATTTTTTTCGGTGAGTTCTCGCTTTTCTATTATTGGTTTTTTTTTGGGGGGCTCGTTTGATAGGAGTAGGGGTGGAAAGTGAAATGGGATTTTAAAATTTTGGAACAATATTATTTTTCATTCCAAAAATTCCAATTTTTTCGATTTTTTTTTGGATCGGATTATTATTTCCGAAAATTACACTCATAATATCTATTCTATTATGAATTTTATATTTTAGGCAAATAAAAGACTGAAATTTTCCAAATCCCATTGATTCCGATAAAAAAAAAAATCTGATTTTGGAACGAGTTTTTTCGTACCAATTCCTGAAATTCTGATTTTTCGTTTTTCTTTAGCGGATTTGAAATTAGTTTTTCACTTCCGAAAAAAAAAATCAGAATTTTTCTGAAAGCGCTATTTCCGATCTGGTCCGTCCAATTTCCACCTCTAAATAGAAATGTTGCGATTACATAGGTTATGGTTTCATTGGTTATTTACACACGTCTTATTTACGCTCGTTCTCAGGTTAACGGGAGTGGACAGTTTGTGGGAGTGGCCGAGATGATTGGACAAGTCGATTTCAGCAAAAATATGGATTTTTGGCAGCTCGATAAATGGAACGGCTTTTTTCCAATTAAATGGCACATGATTAAAGACGTACCTAACACACTACTGCGCCACATCATCCTCGAGAACAATGAGAATCGCCCCGTCACTTACAGCAGAGACACCCAGGAGGTACTATACATACACATACATATACGTATACATATTTTCATTTTAAATTAAAATCCTTATTTTCTTTTTTACGGAAAACATCGCCTATTTTTTTTTTCGGGACAGATTGGATTGAAACAAGGGTTAGAAATGCTGCGAATTTTCAAAAATTACTCGGAGAGGACATCTGTACTGGACGACTTCAACTTTTACGAAAATCGCGAGAAATCGCTCAAGGCAAAGCGGAACAATGCCAAACCTGCTTCTGAAACGGTGAGCTTTTTTTTTTTTTTTTAAATCATCATTTTTCTTAATGTTTTCGACTATATTTACTGGTTGTGCTGTACAGAGAAATTCGGAAGGTGCAGAAGGGATTACAACCATAGAACAATCCGGAAAGACGAGCCAATCAACAGATCCTTCATCTCTCGTTTCTCTTACTAAAAACCTTTCGCTGAATTCCCAGTCATTACAGAGTAGTATATGAGCGTTCGAGCCAATTTTCACAAACACACACGCAGGTTGAAGAATCGGAGAATGCCGCGGTGTTTTATTATCGAGCCTTTCTTTTTTAAAGTTTCTTTTTTGGTATTAGTTTTCGTTGGTTTTTTGATTTAGTGATTTTTTTTTTTTTACTTAAAGATTAGTTTCATTTCCATTATTATGAATCGAGTATCTTTAATTTTTATTAATTTCTAATTTCGTCTAGCTATAGTTCTTATTAATTTATTTAATTAATAAACATAAATTAATAAACAGAGAAAAAAAAACCGTAAATAAGAATATTCAATAAATGTAATTAAAAGTACTTCAAATGTTCATAGAAACAAAAAAACTTAGATATTAAAAAAAAAAAAAAAAAAACCAATTTCTAGTCAAAATACCTTACTCTATGGTTCATCTGATACTGAAAAATATCCTCCGGCCCACCGTCGTGATTCTCCCTTACGGTGAACGGCGGCACCGGCACCACCGGCGGCGCATACAACAGTCCCAACGATCTCGGGCTGGTGTCCACCAGACCTCGCCCCACAGCGGGCCCCGTCGACTCGTAAAAGATTTGCCCCTTAAACGAGATATTACCACTCGTCGATGCCGTCCCACCGCCGCCAAAATGCACGTCGTTGTCGTTACTAAGAAACATCCTCATCGGATTCTGATAATCAATTACAGCAGGCGGATAGTGAATCGGAAAATGATTCGTCCACTCCAAATCCACCCCTCTGAACTCTACCCCACCCGGCGGAAAGAAGCCCCCCGGCTGCGATTGGTCGAACCTCGCACGTGCAAAATCCGCGACGCTCGTATCGTGGTGGTTGTGGTGAATTAAACCCCCCGCACTACCCTCTTTGCTCCGCCTCAGCAAATCGATCCTCGATTTCACACGCTCGGCCCTGTTGCCGAGGTAGGCTGCAAATTCCCTAAGGCCGGCCTCCGTCATGCCTTTGAGAAACCCCGGCCAGGTCGGGTACTTGGCCTCGAAGTTCTTCTTCCGGAGCTTCTCGAGCTCCTCGTCGATTTTCCGCTTCCGGTCGTGGAAGAAGTCGGAGAGGCCAAAGTTTTTGTTGCCGGAGTCTTTGTTCTTGGACTTGTAGATGTCGATTATGCGGTGGACCTGTTCGGGGTTCGGCGGCCAGATTTCGGGCTCGGCGGGCCCCGCCGCCGCCTTATCTTGCTTCGGGCCGTAGATTATCATGCACGCGCCCACGTCGCAGAGTGTCGTGAACTCGTGCATTTTTCGAACGAGGCCCTCTTTTCTCTTCTTGAATGTTATGTTTCTTGATTTCTCCTTGTTTATCAGTTCCATGTTCAGCTTTGCCCTCCCCATTATTATTATTATTCCTTAAAAACACAGTACACACAAAACACGTGTTAGAGACAAGAGAGAGAGAGAGAGAGAGAGAGAGAGAGAGAGAGAGAGAGAGAGGCAACCTTTTGAAGTTCTTGGAGAAGTGAAATCTTGTTATGGGTAAATGCTAAATGAGTGTGTAAATTATATATGTATATATATATACATACATATTTAGTGGATTATGGCAAGATCTATGCCATAATAAGACATGTGATTCTCTTGCAATGATTATGGAATTCCCCACGTGGTTTAATTTGGAAGTAGCATTAATTATTTTCCTTGTATGCTCAACGGTCTCTCCCAAGAAACGGGAATTGAAATTTAAAAATTGCGCCTTTTTATTGGTAATTTTTTTGTTTGGGTAAATTACGAAAACCCCCTTCAGGTAAGGTTTGATTACGAAAATACCCTCAATATTTGTGTAATTACGAAAAAAACCCGGACTCGAGTTTGACGGTGTATTCTAAGAGAACATGTGTTTTCTCTGTTTTACCATTTTGAGTAATTTGAACAAACAAAAAACATGTATCGAAACCTTACAATGAAACCCCTTATAAATGTTAACATTTCCGGTTAATCTCTTAAAGCCGTAAGTCGTAACAATAACGACTATGATTATGGGTGGTGCGGGAAGAAGATGGGATATCTTTCTTTTTCTCAATAGTTAATTTATATTTATATGTATTTTTTTGCAAAATCAATTTTACCGTAAAAAAAAAATTATAAAAATGTAAACGAAAAAAAATTAAGAAACAAATTTTTTTTTTTTTAATTCTACAGTACATGTTTAGTTCTTTTTTATATATTTTGATACTTAATAAGGGTAAATTACAACCACCCCTGGGGTATGATTAAATTACAAAAAACCTCATCTTGTTTGGGTAATTACGAGCACCCCTCAACTATAAATCTTCTTACACGTCCACCATGTGGTTTCAAATTTAGTGGAATCTTCTAGATTATATGTAATAATATCACTTTTGTACTCATTTTATCACATTCGAGCTCCACATTTTGAAGCAAGATGACCATAAAATATGTTTTTTGGCTTGTATATATATCAGATTTTGGTGCATCAGAAATTGTACTTTTACACAAAACGAATGCAAACTAGAGCACATTCAACAGAATCTAGATGATTATGTTGAATTTGACACCATAAGAGTGGGAGTGTAAGAAGTTTCATAGTTGATGGGTAGATGTAATTATCCAAACAAGAGGGGTTTTTTCGTAATTTAACTATACTTTAGGAGCGGTTGTAATTTACCCTTTTAATAATTATAAAATGAAGAATACGTTGTAATTTTATCAATTATTAAAAGGGTAATTTTATAAACAACTACGTTATAAAATTTCGAAATTACAGAGCTTTTTAAATACACTACAAAGTAAATAATATGATTACAATAACCCCCGAGGGTAATTTGGTCCGCTAATAGTAGTATCGGACGAATATTATATGAAATTAAAAATAACACGAATTGAAACCGAAACTGAACCCGATAATAACATACCAAAAGATCTAATACTAAATAGTCATTACAGTAACCATACAAAAGATGATCTAATAGTGAACCAAATCAAATGTCATAAATAAAATTAAAAAAATACCATAAGATTTAAACTAAGTAGAATCGAGGAAGACTCCAATCGAAGCGAAGAGCGTAACATGAAATGCAGCTGTACAAAGAACATAATCAAAAGATTTCTTTTTGAAAAGTTCCAAACGCGCCTTCGCATTTTCAATGTCCTGTTTTTTAGCGAGCAACAGCGTGGTGTAATTGTTGATGTCTTTTTGAAGTTTGGTTTCAAGATCCGAAACATCTTTTAAATCGTCGATAATTTGTCCTTGCTGCATAAGTTCAAAAAATGTTAGACAGCTCTATAAAAACTATAAAATCTAAAAAAACGTAACGAACTTTCGATTAACTATCTCACCAATATGGCGTGCATTTCACGTTCAAACTCTTTTTCCTAGAATAAAAAAACAAATAAATAGATTATAATACAATAATTAAAAAAAATATATAGTAAGAAAAACACACATAATCCAAATAAAAGAAAAGGAATCACCAGATCTTGTTACCCCTAATTGTCCAAATAAAAATCCAAGTAAAATGAAATCTTTCACAAATTAGATAGCATTATATATTCTATACTTTTTAACTACTTAGGCCTCGTTTGGTTGGGGAGATAAAGATTAGCCAAGATAAAATTAAATAATCTAATGAAACCCAATTGTATTATCGAACGTTGGAAGATCCAATGAACAACATGCCTAAAAGGCAAGATGACATAATATTTGCGGGTCGACCCGACAAGTTATTGGGATACCAAACATAAAAAAAAAAAGTCTCATTATTTAGTTAATGCTAATGTCCCCAACCAAACGAGGCCTTAAAACGCTAATCAAACCACGACTTTATTTTTTTCTGAAAAGCCCAGCCCAAACAAACAACACGCTTAACGGGCTCTAATTGTCGTAAATTCAGGCCCATATTCCCTAATTAGAGGGGCCCACTTGAATCTAATTAAGCTAATCATACTTAATTAACAGCCCAAACCTATATTAATTGGTAATTTCAGAAGGAACCACAATCTATATTACAGCAGAAACCAAAAATCCCTATGATCGAAAGCTAATGAAATGAGCATACTAATAATTAATTTCGAATTAATTACTTTGGAGTGGGATAGAGAGAGAAAATTAGGGTTTTTCTCTGATTTAGAAACAAAACTAAAAAAAAAAAAAAATAAAAAAAAAAAAAATTAAAAGAGCTACACCTACCGAAGCTGTAGAGTAAAACACCTTCGGCTTGTATGAAGCGGCGGCAGAAATGCGGCGGATCTGTGAAACACGCGCCAGTGAACGGAGATACGACGTGGCCATGTCGTCGGCGGTTTAGAGTGAGAGTGAGAGTGAGATGAGAGAGAGAGAAGATGAGCAGCCGTAGAGAGGGTTTAGGGTTTGGGCTCCAATCAATGTTTATTCTATGGTTAAATACAAAAACACCCCCTGTACTACAGACTTGTGTATCATATTACCCCTGTACTATACATAAATACAAAACCCCCCCTATTGTTACATTTTCTTCAAAATCTGTTTTTATTTGGACGAAAATACCCCTGCTGAAGTCTATAGATATAAGGGTTTGTTTGAGCAAATTTTCGCTATATTTTTTAACATTTTCAGCCGATTTTACTTGAGACATTTTGATATTTTTATTTTTTTCTCCAAAACATCTGATTGCTTGGATTTTTTTTTTTTTAATTTTATGAATAAAACCTTTTATTTTTGTCATTTTGAATTTTTTTGTTTTTTTTTTCTCGAATGCCTTCCAGTAGTTCAAATTCTCAACAATCATAGCAAGGGTCTTTTTCTTAAATGTCTTCCGGTTGAGAATTTGAACTACCGAAAGACATTTAAGAAAAAATTAAGAAATTCAAAATGACAAAAATAAAAGATTTTATTCAGAAAATAAAAAGATCCAATCAATTAGATACGATGTGGCATTTTTTAATTTCGGAGCTTAGATGAAACACTGTTAAAGTCAAATGTCGGACAACTAACAACGAGGCCCACATTGAGACAATTTTTCAAGCACAAATGGGCAAATAGATGCAATCGAAGGGAGTAAAGTGATACCGAGCCAAAGTATAAGGGGGAAATGTAATTTACCATATTACCTATTATTAAATGTGCAAATTGCACATCGCCCCTATAAATTTCTAATTTTTGCACTTTACCCCTCGAAATTTAGAGAACGGATGTTGAGAGAGAAAAACCGTTAAACAATTATTAGTAATTCCTATTTCCTGTTTATGAGAATTACTTTTGATGCCCGGTTCTTTTGCTAATTACAAAATGGTACATGATTTTTACTCAACACTTCAAATTTGGGGTAGAACCCTCATAGTTTAAGAAATTGACATTCATCATCACCTGCATTCGACAAATGGCATATCCATGTGATGTCCTAATTTCATCCTATATGCCATCTATAATGGGTCTAGGGGTGTGAACGAGCCGAGCTCGAGCCGAACTCGCCTCTTTTGGCTGGCTTGAGCTCGAGCTCGAGTCTATTTTGTCGAGCTCGTCGAGTTCCTCTTTTTTTGGCTCTAGCTCGAGCTCGTGTCAATTTTGTCAAGCTCTAGCTCTTTTTTTTTTTTTTTAATATTTTTTTAATTATTATTTTATTATTAAAAATTATTTTAAAAAATACAAAATAAAAACTAAATTGTAATTAGGGTTAATAGCATTTTGCCACCTATACTTTGCCCGTTTTTGCGTTTTGCCACCTTAACTAAAAAAAGTTGCACGGGCACACCCAAACTCCTTTTTTTGACGCACATAACCACCTAAGGGGAATATTTCTGGCGAATTTTCTCATTTTTCCGGCGCACGTGCGATGCACATGCTTAATGTGAGGACTTTTTAGTCTTTTAATATGAAGATATCATGTGGGGTTAAAATTGAAAGTTCGAAAGAATGAAATTGAAAGATTGAAAGTTCCAAGGGGTGAAACTGAAAGATATTAAACTCTCATTCTTCTTCTTTAATGGAAGTCTATCCCCCATTAATCTGTTCTTTGAACTAACATCAACTTTTGAAAAAAAATCCAAGCTTTAAAAAAAACAAGGGGTTATCTTCTCATCATCAATTTAATCAAAAATCTTGTGAGACGATCTTGGTCCTCAATTTGGAACTTTCCTCGATGTTCCTCCTGATTGTCATATTGAGTTCCAAAAACGAAAGTTCCATATTGAGCCCATAGGTTTACTCACAAATTCTTCCTAGTCGCACACCACACGACTCCACATGTTGCTGCTCTTTTTCTGCTACTTCATCTGCACTGTATCCCACCTTTGTTTTCATAGTTGAATTGCTTACACAGACACATATCTACAACGCAATTGCACTGTATCCCACCTTTGTTTTCATAGTTGAATTGCTTACACAGACACATATCTACAACGCAATTAATTTCAACATTTACTGTAAACCACAAAAACACATTGAGAATTAGAAAGAAAGAGAGAGAATTGCCTGCATAGTGGAGCATTCGAAGCATTGGAAAGGGTTTCTTTGAAAAATATTAATGGGGAGAAACTCCCATAGAAGAAGACCCACTCCCATGGAAGAAGAAGACCCACAACTCTATTTCATTTAATTTAGAATTTGGGCAAGTTTTAAATGAAGTTCAATTGAGTCCTTAAACTTTCAGCTTTATCCCACATGATATCTTCAGATTAAAAGACAAAAAAATCCATGTATTTAGTCATGTGCATCGCACGTGTGCCGGAATCTTTCAAGATTCGCCGGAATATTCCCCCTAGGTGGTTATGTGCGTCAAAAAAATGAGTTTGGGTGTGCGCGTGCAACTTTTTTTAGTTAAGGTGGCAAAACGCAAAAACGGGCAAACTACAGGTGGCAAAATGCTATTAACCCTTGTAATTATATATATTTTTAATATTTTTATTTATTTCTATAATATTTTATATTATTATACATTATTTAAATAAAAATAACATATAAAAACTAAAAAAATAATAATAAATAAGGCTCGCGAGCCGATGAACAACTAAAAACCGGCTCGAGCTCGGCTCGTCAGAAAGCTCGAGCTCGAAAACCTCGAGTCCGAGTTCGAGCATTTTACGAGCCGGCTCGTCGAGCTCACGAGTCGGCTCGGCTCGTTCACCACCCCTAAATGGGTCTATTAGTGATTTCTAATATTATCAAAAGTTGGTTGAACTATAATTATCAAAAATTTAATTAAAAATTATAAAATAAAGGGTGGGTTACCCATTGAGCAATCCAATATCAGTGGGATTAAATGAGCAATCATTTGAAAATATTAGGAGCAAGATCAAAATTTGAGTACTTATAGGACTAAAAACTCTATCGAGTCAAAATTATAGGATCAAACTCCAATTCTCGGAAGTCCAATTTTCCTATAAGTAGTCAGCAGCAAAGTTTGCCATATCTACTTGATGGCTGCGTTTCAACATATGGCTCGATTTTCGAAATTCACTTCTCCAATCACCGCCTACGGTTTCTTCTCCAGACGGATGTCCCGATTCGTCAAGCCCGATGGAGATGGTGGAGTTCTCGTTGACAGAAGGGCGTTGGTAATTTTTTTAATTTACTTTTTTTTTTTTTTTAATTTCTAGATCTCTGCGAGAATTGTGAAATTTCAATTATTTTTTTTGTTTTGTTGATATGGTTGAGAAATTGAGTTTTCGATGTTAGATAATTAGGATGTGAATCAGAAACGAATTTCGACTCTCGCAGATTCTGATTTGAATTTTTTTTTTATAATAATTTTGGAACCAAGTTTTTTTATTCTAATTTCCGAAATTCTGATTTCCGATTTTTCAGAATTTTAATTTCGTTGGAACGGAATTGAAACAAGTTTTTTATTTCTGTAAAATTTTGGTATTATTAATGAAGTGTTGTTATTTCCAATATGATCCACCAGATTTTTTTTTTACTTTTTCTTTCCTAACTAGTCAGATTGCAGATTTAACATGTGGAGGGGTTGTATGTTTTTTTATACTTATGTATTGATATTTTATATATAATTATTGGCAATAGAACTAGACACTTGTACAGATTAATTGTCTGATTAAGCAAGCATTATATCGTATTATGAATTTAGTTTAGACTTTATTGATGAAATAAATCTATATAGATATAGATTTGCTAAGGAAGGTCCAAATATAAATAGACATATATGGATTTCTTCAGAGTGTTGATATACCATCCCCATTTGTGTGTGCAGATTTTGCAGTTAGAAGCCGAAGGTATCCCAAGAACGCTTTCCAAAAAGTATGCAGACATAGTAGCTTCTACTTTGGAAGAAAGTCATCGGAATGGTTTAAATATTGTTAAGCAGGAAGTAAGTGTTCAACTCTGAAATGGTTATTTGTCAATTATTTAAAGTGTCCGTAAAGTGTTCACTTTTAGATTTAAATAACACAATGTTCTTTTTTCGAGCTTAAAAGGAAAAATTACGGATTGTGAAATGAAGTTGTTTTGGTTTGGTGGTACCTCTTCTTCTTTATTTTATTTTTCGCTTTCTTAGTTCAACTAACAATAATTCTGGATATTGTTGTCCCCTTTTCTCCCATTTAATGATTTTAAAGTGCAGTCTATGAAGTTTTCGTAAAAACATTTACTTTTTGGATTTTGTTTCATAAGCATGGAATTATAGTTGGCGGCTAGCTTTTAATATCTATGTTGTCTACTTGGCATATTCTTACGGGATATTTGTTTGGAAGCATTTTTATTTCGTTTTTATTGATTCCCCAAAACAAAATTGTATTTATTAAACTTTTCAAATCATTTTCTCAAAACAATTTCAAAAGTTTCTGTGACTGCTACAGTAAAATGGTAAAAATGATTTGACTTCACGAAAAAACAGATAAATATCACTTCATCTTTCAATTGTTTTCTTCTAAAATACTTTTTTCTAACACCTTTAAACATGATTTGACTCACACAGTGTATTTTGTCTCCTTCCAAAATATAAGAAAACATTACTTTCATTCTCAGATTCTTCTCCCAAAACATATTTCCTCAAAATGAAATCAAAATAAGTTTCAAAAGGCTTCCAAACATTGCCTTAATTCTTTTATATTATTATTCACTTGTTATGTTTCTGATTCAGGATTTGCTGTGCCAAGTCAAAAACCATCGCAACAATATTATAAATGAGTGTCATAATCTCAGGAATGGTCTTAAGATAACGAGCGTGGAAATGAGGTATCCTTGTCAATGATTTAAGTTTATATTTCCAATTTGATAATAGTATATAATTAATAAGTTTTGTAACGAACAAACAGAAATGCGGCTGCTGCCGAGCCTACTAGTGATGAAACAGATTTGGAGATGAAAAAACCGAGGCCCAGTTTCGAAGAGGCAGCACCGCGCGCATTTAGGCGGACTCTGGGGTTCGTATCCTTATATGTTGTTAGTTTTGCTGGTCTCATCGGTGTTGTCCGTACACGTAAGAATCATGGTGTTTAGATTCACGCCCGTCCGTCTTAGATAACGTGTATTTCAGTTTTTATCTTAGATTATATGTATGTATCTCTATCTCTAATTTTCAATTTTAATATTGTAGTGTGCTTATTTAAATAAATCTGTAAATATATTCCTCTGGTTTGCAAAAATATTTTTTTCGTCTTTAATTTTGATTTATTGAACTTTTTATTTATTTTTTTAAGTTTTTTTCTTTAATTTCTTTTGTTTGTTTTAAATAGTTTTTTAAATATAATTTTTTTCTAGCTGATTTAGCAAATCGAAATCTACTACATACTTAATTAACAAAATCCACTATTTAATTAACATAATTCACTATGTATTTTTTTTTTTAAATTTCTTGTCTTTTTCCACGGGGTTTATAAATCGACTACTCACTCGTCAAAAATCGACATTTACTAAACGTAATCCACTATTCAAAATCCACTATTCACTGAAAATGCACTGTAAGCACTATCACCGACCCACCGTTCTAATATAATCCGCTATACGTTGCGCATGAGAATTCGAATCCACTATTCAATGAATTCGAAACCACTACTAAATGTAAACGTCGTCGTTCTCCACTCCTCTATTACCCAGGCCTGCATCAGGTATATTTGTCGGCAAGAACGGCGATATTAACGTAATCCACTAAATTAATGTAATTTGGTTACAAACTGTAGTAGCCAACTTCAACAAATATAGACACACACAAATCATCGGTACTAAAAAAATACAATTTGCTTTGCAAGGAGAAATAAAGAACGACTTTAACAAATCTAATAAAACTACCACTATCTCTTTGTTTATTTTCAAATAATGGCTAGGAAATGGACACCAAAACGACGCCGTTGCCGCTACCAAAGTAGCAGAGTTATCCAAGCATCACCCGACTTAGTCATCCGCTTCGCCTGCTATGGACATGAACCGAAGAAAAAGAAGGCAACAAAATATCATTTCAATTCATTCAAAAATTTTCTTTTCCAAAAGCAAGAATTTGAAAACCTACTATAATCTCGTCAAAATCCACTACAAAATCATAGAAGTCCAGGATGTTAACGTCATTCACTACGAAATCATCCTAATCTACTACAAAATCAATTACAAAAATAACAAAAAAAACTACGAAAACAACAAATCAGTATATTATTCTGAAATATCCCATATCTCATCGTAATTTAACGGGGCTATTTGCTCTTAATTCTTAACTCTATACAACACCCCCAAGTAAACTAAGAAGGACGCACACACCCCAACGTACGGAATTAATTCAAGCACTGCGTCTTCAAACCTGTCATGCAATTTCCGAGTCACCAGATTTATTTCAGCAATCGTAAAAATAATTAATATGTATATATATATAAAACTGGAATACTTTTCCGCGGTCGTTCTGTTAGGATCTCCAAAGACAAAATCACGTTTGAAGTCTACGTATTTGTACAACGAACGAAAATAAATATCCTGCATAAATAACAATATAATGGATGAAGAGAAAAATGGACCATCCATATTAATTATCCTAATAGAAACATGCCAAGTTGACAAAATACTCGTCTCTCGTCCATGAAACAAAATAAATAACAATGTACTTTTTTTTTACAGGTAAACTTGTAATTTCTCATCTGGGATATTTGAATAATGTAAGGCTTCGTTTGGTTGGGGAGATTAGCCATTATTAACTAAATAATTTGACGGGTCGACCTGTAAATATTATGTTATCATGCATTATCTTGCCTTCTATGCATGCTTTCTACTGGATTTTCCAAGGTTCAATATATGATGGGATTTGATTAGATTATTTAATCATATCTTGGCTAATCTTATATTGTCAACCGAACGGGGCTTAAAAATATTGCCAGTTAACACAATTTCACAGTTCAACACATACTAATTTATTACCTTGTTAACCACATAAACATTCGGACTTCTATTCAAAACACTAGTTATTATCGGTACATGCTTCCCCTGAATGCCTTGTGCTTCCAAGTGCCTTTCCTGTACACAAATTTGTAACAAAACATACTATGCTTAAATTTAACAATAACTCAATTATTTTATTGGAGCTTGAAACGTCCAACAAAAAAAAAAACTCATTAGAAGCCAAGATAAGCCATGATTATATAATTTTGGCGGGTCGACCCGGCAACAATTTATTGGGATACTAAACATCAAATTAAGTTCAACTATTTAGTTAATCATGGCTTATCTTGACAATCATATATATATATATAAAGGGAATTACCAGATCAGTTCTGTCAAAACGAATTCCACCATCATCATACGGTTTGACTAATCGGGACATCCCGTCATCGTACGATTTGACTAATCGGGACATCCGCCGCGAAGAAATTGAGGAGAAGAAACCGCAGGGATTGATCGGAGAAGTGGATTTTGAAAATCGAAATATACGCTGAAACGCAGCCATCAAGGAGATCTCGCAACCGGCAGCCCTAGAATTGCCTGCCTCTTATGTATTATATATTTTTCGGCAAAGTTCAGTTAGCACCTCTGAATTATAGGGTATGTATTAGAGACCCCTAAATTACAAAATAATATCAAAATGACCCCTCTAGTTCCAATCCATTTGTGTTGGCCGTAAGTTGACTTTTTTCAAATTAATTTTTTTGATATTTTTACCCCTCACTTGTTACATGTATATGTATAAAGATATACACAATTTATTTTATGTATAAAGATGAATATATTTTGCCCCATAATATTTTATAATTTCTTAACCTATTAATATAGTAAAATATTTAATTTATATTTTTATTTAGTTAATAGAATTGGTCTCACATTGTACTAATTAACATCTTTATTTTTTGTCTAAAATTAAGATTTATCTCATAATCAATTTATTGCCTAAAATTAGAATTTTATTTAGCTCTTGTTTTTTCTTTTGAAGAACTCAATTTTGGAGGAAGAGAGATGTGCAAAAAAAAACTTATATATATGTAATAGTAAATTAGTAATAAGGGTAAAAAAAAAAAAAAAAGGTAATTTTCGCCCCAAAACTAGTAGAGTTAATTTTTTAATGTTTGACTAGAAAAGACATGGGGCTATTTGGTACCTTTTGTTAGAATTGTGTATTTTTTCCCATTAAAATTGTCATTTTACTTAATATTAATTTTATGGAAAAATTATTTAATTGTTTAGAGAAATATTTGGTTGTTATATTATTAATAAAAGTAAAGTTGCTCCTGATAAACTTTTGAGATTTAATGGCAACATTGATTTGCAGTAAACTACCGAGCCCTGTCATGGGTAGGGGTGGAAATCGGACGAATCGGATCGGATTTGGGTGTTTCGGAAAATTTCCGATTTTTTCGGAAGTCCAAAACGCCTTCCGATTCCGATTCCGATTCCGGTTTTTTCGGAATTTTCGAAAAATCGGAATTTTTTAGAATTTTCCCAAAAAAAAAAAAAAAAGGAAAAAATTGATCACCGACACAGTAGCCAAATTGCAAAGATTGCAAAGAGAAACATCAAACAAGTAATCTTCACAAATACAAGAGACTCACACAAATACGTTGGTGGTGGTCGTCGGAGAGCCGGGAGGCGCTGGTGGTGGTGGTGGTGGTGGTCTTCAGAGAGCCGGGAGGCCTGGTGGCGATGGTGGTGGTGGTGGTGGTGGTCTTCAGAGAGCCGGGAGGCCTGGTGGCGATGGTGGTGGTTGCAGAATCGGGAGGCGCAAGTGGTGGTGGTCGTCGTCGGAGAATTGGGAGGCGCTGGTGGTGGTCGTCGGAGAACCGAGATGCGCTAGTGGTCGTCGGAGAAGGCACTGGTGGTGGTGGTGGTGGGGAGAAAGAAAGGTCGATGACTGCTGAGAGAGAGTCGGAAAATTAGGGTTTGTAAGTAATCTTTATATATAAAAGAAAAGTTTTGCCTCGAAACCCTAATCTTATTTTTGTGAATTATTTGTAAACTAGGGTTATTTTCGGTAAACAAAATAGATTACTTGCCAGTTTTTTCGATCCCCTGGAGTTTTTTCTCAACTCCTAAGCGGTTTTTGAGTTTACACGATTTAGAAAAGAAAAAAAACAGAAAAAAACTTCCCACAATATATTTAAAAAACACAGAGTAGCAGCACCAGTCCTCCATGTCTATCAAACCTTAAATTGATTTCCAAACGCAATTCAAACTCCCAGTATGCCTTTTAAAATCGCAATATTGTTGCGTGAATCAAATCAAAACTCCTGTCACCAAAATCCTCTAATATTTTTGTTCGAATTGGTATATATATATATATATATATATATATATATATATATATATATATATATATATATATTTTTAATTCATAGATGAAGAAAGCAGCCCATAATTTTTGTAATTTTTTTAATAACGACACTGTAGTTTCACATAGTGTTTGTATTTACTTTTATGTTTGGCGAGAATGTATATGCATGTTTAGTGTGGCTTGGGTTAAATGTGGGTGAATTTTCCCCTCCATTTGTTAATTCATTTGAGATAAATGATTTATGATTGGATGTTTCTATGTATTTTGTTGGGGTAAACTGCATAAAACCTCCCTGTGTTATGTAAAACATGCATCGAATTCCCCTGTTTTAATTTTATTGCGTAGAATCCCTCTGTGTTTTATTTTATCGTGCACGAAATCTCCAATTCCATTAACATTTAACACCGTTAACTATTTAGGAGATTTCATGCAAGTTTTTCATAACATAAGGGGGTTTGGTGCATGTTATTTAAAATACAAGTGGATTTTATGTAAAATTTATTTATTTATTTAAAAATTGAATTATTTTTTTGAAATGAAGTCGAATACATTTATTCAATTTTTGGAAGTCGAATTTTCAGAATTATTAATATAATTATTTATATCAAAACTAAATTCGAATTTTCATATTATTTATATTCATTGACATATAATACATCCACGATAAATTATACAAATATATAACAATAATGATATTATAAGTATATAATTTTAATTTTTATAAAATACATTGATAAATACTTTTATAATTCAAAATTGAAAATTTCCAAATTTATTTATTTAGTTTCAATTTTGATGAAATTGTTTTTTAAAAGAAATGGAATCAAATTTTGGAAATCCAAATAAGAAAAACAATCTTCTAAAATTTAAAAAATTAAATTGGAAACGACAAAATTACAAGAGAAAAAAAACTTGTTAGAAATTTCATCCTTACCACTAGTTTTAATTTTTTATATTGCAATTGAATAAATGTGTTTGACTCAATTTAAAAAAAAATCAAATTTTAAATAAATAAAATATTTTTGCATAAATCCCCATATATTGAAGAAAATATGCACCAAACCCCCTTGTGTTTTGAAAAACTTGCATATATATAATCCCCTAAATAGTTAACGGTGTTAAATGTTAACGGAATGGGGATTTCATGCAAGGTAAAATAAAACACATGCAGGGGGGTTCTACGCAATAAACTTAACACATGGGGTTTGGTGCATGTTTCCCATAACACAGGGGGGGTTTATGCAGTTTACCCTATTTTGTTGCTTTAGATCTTTCTCTTGGGGCTAAGAGTTAATTATGAGCAACGACGAAGAGAAGAAGTGTGCACTGTGTGCGGAATAGATGGATTGGACAAACCAGCAGTTCATGTCTTGCAAATGCGGCTATCAATTTATGATTATTCCACATAAAAATGTTCTTTTTTTTCTTTGATTGCAGCTTATTAAAGGATGATTTTACGACATAATGTATCGTGCTTCATGATACATATTATTGGGGTTACAGGAATTTATGAACACTAATGTGTATTCATGATTTACAACACATGTGGTTTTTTATCTTCTTTAAATGAGTATAATGATAATGACTGCATATTACCGTAAATTAACTTACGATTGTCTTTTTTTTGCATAAAACAATCCTGCTAATTTCTTCGAGTAAGTTCTCATCTTCGTTTTCATTTCAAAAAATTCCATGCCAAGCGTTCCAAAGCCTAAAATCATGTTGAACGATATATTTTATATATGTATTATGTTGATTTTATATTTTCTGTTCATTTTTTTTTATATATGCTGTTGCTGCTTGCAGCCGCAAATTTGTGTTTTTTCTTTTTTTTTTTTCCATTCGGCCGATTTTTAGAGAGGTCGTACTATGTTTGTTTCTATCATGTTACTTTCATAATTCTTCGAGTTTCTTTATCATCTTCGTGTTCTTTTGAAAAATATGACAATAAACATTGTATCCACTTCTTCTCGATCTCCTGATTCTCTCCTTTTGTACGTACGTCTGAGTTTCTCGGCTAACTCTCTAAAATTATTTATTTTGATAGATGATGGAAACAAAGAACACTATACAGTCTAAAACTTATATAGATGTATTATGATGATCTAAGGTCCGAAATTGTGAACATCTTCATCGTATTATAAAATTATTTTCTTCAATAATTTTACTCTTCCCTAATGTTTTTCACATAATTAATTGTACATTTCTTTTTTAACTTAAAACTGACCTACTACTCTACAAACATTTTTAATAGTTTGCTTTGGATACATAAAAAAACTTCGTGTTCAAATTTAAATAATTTTTGAAGAACAATTTAAGAGAAATTAAATTTCTAAGTTGCTACAGTTTATCAGTCCGCTTTTCTCTACATTTTTATAACTTCAAATCGATCTACTCCTTTACGAAATGTTTTAACAATATATTTTAGAACTGTGAAGGAACATTGTCTTCAAATATAAGTAATTTTGAATAAAATGTTTAAAATAATTATAGAAATATAAAGGAATTGTCTTTATTAATTTTGATTATATTATTTTCTATTATCATTTATTTACCTATATTGATTTTTCTTTTGTTTTAATCATCGGCCGTGCAACGCACGGGGCAAAATACTAATTCTAATAAATTTTGAGTTTTGACTTTTGAATATTTTAGAAAATTAAAAAAATAATAATATGTCCAAATATATATATAAAATAATCGGAAAAAAATATTAGTAATATACTAATATATATAGTTAGTAATTAGTACATAATTGCGGATAGATATAGTCATATAGTATATATTATATATCGTAATAAATATAATTAATAATTGGAAAATCGGAATAAATGGGAATAAATCGGAAATAATCGGAATAATTTCGGATCGGAAATCGAAAATTCCGAAATTCTGTTATGTATTTCCGATTCCGATCCGATTTTTTTCGGAATTTTCGTAATTCGAAATTGAAAATCGTTCCAAAATCGGAATATTTCGGATCGGATTCGACGGAAATCGGAATTTTCGTTCCAATTTCCACCCCTAGTCATGGGTGATAAAGAAGAAAATTCCTCAAACTTATACATTAGCTGGGATAAGATAAATATACAACCATCTTATATCAAAGACATAAAGTTAAATTAATAAATACGGCAAGACAAGTTATGGATGGGGGATTATCATCAGTACATATAGCGAAACATCAAAATTAATTGAAACATTAATTTTGTCGTTTAAATTGGACTTTACTTTGTATTAATGTTATTTCAGTCCAGTCCATCGCACGGGCCAAAATTCTAGCAATAATAGGAAATGAAAGACATACGGGACTAGGCAAAAGAAATTTACGAGGTAAAACCCTATTTATATATAGGATAAATGACCCTTTGCCCCCTAAATTATAGGCCGATTAGTAATCTACCCCTAAAGAATTTTTTTTACACGATTTTCCTCCAATTAGATTATTTTTACACAAAATTTGAGGGAAAATCTTGTAACACAAATTTGTTCAGGGGTAGTGTGCAAATTGGCATATAGTTTAGGGGGCAAAATGCCATTTACCCTTATATATATAAAACTGTTTTTTTTTTTTGATAAACAAACCCCTCTGGCGTTCAAAAAACTGAAAGAGAAACCCTAGAGGGAGTGTAAATGACAGACGAGCAACAGCAGATTATCCCGCATTTGCAACGACCTGAATCTCCTCAACGCCCCTCTAAACTGGCCAAATTCGACGGCGTAGATTTCTCCGGCGACGGCGAGGAAGAGGAGGAGGAGGAGGAAGCCGGAGAGTTCGCTGAAAAAAATATGGTACCGAATCCGAGAATTCAAAGATACCTAGTTGCGATTGAGTATTTAGGCACTCGATTTTCCGGCGCACAACAGCAGCCAACTGGTAGAACTGTTGTTGGTGTTCTCGAGGTGATTTTAATTTACCATTTCCCCCTAATTATTAGTTGTTAAGATTATTTGATTCCATAATGTTTATCGAAATTCAGTTTTGTGTTTATTCTAATTGCCTGTTTTATTTATTTTTTTGTAGGATGCTTTTCAGAAATTTATTGGACAGCCTGTTTCGATTTTTTGCTCGAGCCGGACTGTGAGTTCTTCGATTCATTTTTTTTTTGTTCGGTTTTCGATTTGAATCAGTTATGCAGCTTTTGTAATTGTTACTGCATTTTCGGATAATATTTAGGATGCTGGTGTTCATGCACTGTCAAATGTATGCCATGTCGATATTGAGAGGACAAGCAAAAGAAAACCGGGTGAAGTGGTGAGTTAATTTTGTCGATATGGCTTTTCTTTTGTTCTTAAATCATGTAACTTCATGCGTAAATGTTACAGCTAAATTCTATGAAGTTGGATGAGGATAGTTTATTTTAACCCTTTACTTCCATTTATACTAATTCTAGAAAATATTGAGAAAAAAAATACTAGGAAAGTACACGTGATTTTGAGCTAGAACTCGATTTAGGATCTATTGTAAATGAGTCGAATCGAGCTCAGCATTTTTATTCGAGCTTGAGCTGGAATAGGATATATTGTAAATGAGCTTATTAGCCCATGCTCAGTATTTTTTAATCGAGCTCAAGTCTGAGCCTAAATTTATAAGCTCGATAACTCATTTTTTAACGCTGACAGTGATTTAAAGCTTGAAAACGTTTAAACAAGCTCGAGCTCAATGTCCGATACCTTTGGAGCTCTAGAAAGAGCATGTCATTTTTGTCTGCTCTGATTACCAATTGATTTGTGGGGAATATCATATGTAATTGTGTATATTAAGTTACTATGCTCTATTTTGGCTTGCAGTTACCACCTCATGAACCTTCTGTTGTCAAAAGTGTTGTCAATCATTTTTTACAGGTATGCTTTCAGTAACTGATGTATTTTTGGTTGGTTTTATTTTCTAATAAACGAAGAAACATGGTGCAAAATGATGGTCAGTATAGTTTCAGGAATAAGATTTCTATTTTGAAGTTACTCAAGAATGACATTCTTGCAGCACCTATGAAGAACTAATAAGAATATATTGTATTTCTTATATACTCTTGGAACTTCTAGTAACGAACACGTAAAGTTGATTTCTGTTCAATTGCTGGAAATTATTTTTTCAAATCTCTCTTTCCCTTGTTAAGCTTTGCTTACATTCTGGTTTCATGCTTTCCCCTCAATTTGACACATGCGTCAACATATTCGTGTTGTTTGGGTGAGCCAGTGCATGTATTCGTAGAAATGCCGTTTATTCTTGTAATTCCTTTTTTTTTTTTTAATATCAGTTTGAGCAAATGATGCATATAGTTCGGTGATTTCAAATAATTTTGGGATTGACCTCTCGTTGAGCTTTTTATTTACACATTTCCTTAGTTTCTTACTTGCATCTTTCGTTAAGGTATTATACCCGTAACTCTTATTGCCTGATCAAAGGGTTTTCATGTGAGCAAATGTACTTTTTAGTCTGATGATCAAGGAAATGATCAATTTATTGTTGTACGAATAAATTGATCGGGCACCGGGGCCGTGCCTTGCGCGGAGCTCCACCACTAGTGTATATATATATATATATATATATATATATATATATATATATATATATATATATATATATATATATATATATATATATATATATATATATATATATATATATATATATATATATATATATATATATATATATATATATATATATATATATATATATATATATATATATATATATATATATATATATATATATATATATATATATATATATATATATATATATATATATGCAAACAGGTTTGTTGCAACATGTGTTAGTATCAAGAATTTTCAAAAACAGTCACAAAATAACCCTATAAATATACTTACATAATTCCAGAACAGAAATCCAACGCTTAGATTTAAGATTAATGAGGTAAGAACTTGCTTTACAAAAAATAGACCGACCACAAATGAACGGGCGACTGGGATGATGATCAAAATTGTTGTTAGTTTGCTTTTTCAGAAGGGGTCGAAGATTATTCTGCACATCAGTGGAGGCTAATATAAGTTTCTTAGTGGTAAATAATAAGTTATTTCCTCGTCAGATATAGATGTATAAATTCCATTGAGGTTTATTTCAGCAAAATTCCTTTAAATTCATACCTTAAATATGAAGCTTGAAAAGAGAGTTTCTTCAATCTTCATGGAACTCTCCAATTCTTGGCTTATAGAGATGATGAAATGTTTAGTGCCAAAATGAAATTATCTTTTGTTGATGTTTTTGGTGCGCAAGTGATTTTCGAGAAATAAGCGGATTATGTGAGATGTAAATGGACCAGTTACTTATCGTGTGTTGTTATCATTGTTATCATCGTGTGTGTTTAGTTATTTTATTTTTTTATTGTTATCATTGTGGAGTAAAAAAAAACCGCCCAAAGGAAAAAAATAAAATAAAAAAGAAACTGTCAAAAAATAATTTGTCGAAATTGCACCTAGGTTTATATTTAGGATTTTGTTCAAAATATCTTTCTTTTATATATAAGATATTAGTATTAGTATTACTATTAATATTAGTATTAATATTAGTACTAATATCAGTATCAATAACAGTATCAAAATAAAAATCAGTATAAGTATCTATATGAGTATCAGCATAAGTATCGATATTTGTATCGGTATTAGGATCGGTATCGGTATCGATATCGATATCGGTGTCGGTATCGGTACCGGTACGGTATCAGTGTCAGTATCCATGTCGGTATCGAATCGGTATCAGTATCGGTGTCAATATATGTATCAGAATCAGTATCAGTATCGATATCGATATCAGTATCAATATATCGGTATCAATATCGATAGGGGTGGGACTGAGTTGGTTTCTATCCACCAACCGATCCATTACCGATGATATTTTTAGGCAAATAATATTTTTTAACCGACCCATTGGATCGAATTGGAAATTTCTACCAACCTATCTATAATGGGTCTATTAGTGGTTTCTAATATTATCAAAAGTTGGTTGAACTATAATTATCAAAATTTTATTAAAATTTGTAAAATAAAGGGTGGGTTACCCATTGAGCAATCCAATATCAGTGGGATTAAAAGCAAACATTTGAAAATATTAGGACCAAGATCAAAATTTGAGTACTTATAGGACTAAAACTCTACCTACTCAAACTTATAGGATCAAAACTCCAATTCTTGGAACTCCAATTTTCCTATATGTAGTCAGCAAAGTTAGGGTTGCAAACAAGTATTATTTCTCCGCCGTTGCCAATCTCCTTGATGGTTGCGTTTTAACGTATGATTCGATTTTTTTAGTAATATTCATTTTTTTGTCTCCTCTTAAAGTTTGCTGATTTATTTCAACGGTTGTTGTTTATATGAAAGAATTTCACAGTCATTGGTCATTTCGAAGTTTTACATTTCTCAAAGCAGGCTCAATTCAAATTCCAATTAATAATGGTTTAGTTGTCTATTTCTTGAAATTTCCATTTAATGTAATTCCCGCTTGCATGCTCAACGATAATGAAATAAAAAAGTTATGTTGGACGAGTTTTCTAATTTGTTTGCCTAAACTCAAAACAATAATAAAGTTGTTTCCTTAACATAAAACAATAATAAAATAACACTAGTAGTTTGGTAGTAGCTCTCGAGAGAACTTTTTCCAACTTAATTAAATTACAGTAGAATCCAATTAATTCATATTTTGGCATAAAGACAATACCCAACATATGATGCTGAGGCCACAAGAGATGTTACAGTCGTAGAAATACAGTACATTCGAATTTTTTTCTGTGCATCTTCGAACGGCCCAACTGTCTACACACATCTCGTTCATCTTCTCCACGTGGATTCTATTCAAGTTTAAATTCTTTTTCCAACTGTCTACACACATCTTGTTCATCTTCTCCACGTGGATTCTATTCAAGTTTAAATTCTTTTTCCTCCACGTGGATTCTATTCAAGTTTAAACTCTTTTTCCTCATTTCCAGTACTCTGTGTTTCTGTATAAAAAGAAAAAAAGAAAAAAAACAAATAATTAGCTAGAATTGAAAAGAAAGAAAAAAGATCAAACAAGTTATTCAAAGTCAAAATTTTGAATCTTAATCCCATAAAAAAGAAAAAGTAAATAAAAAATTCTAGTCTAAAGTGATACTTAATCCAGAAAGACTACATAATTTAAAGTTCATTTGGCAAAAAGTCACTAAATAGTAATAAAGATCAACACATAGAACTTTGGAGATTTAAATTAGAACTAATTGCACAGAACCCCTGTATAATTTCTAATGGCCAAAAAAACCCTCATATTAAAAAAATTAGCAAGAATCCCCTTATATTATTTTTTATAAAGCATACTGCCACTTATTTCATATTTGGTTGTTGACTTAAGAGAAATGACAAAATTACCCTTTATTAAAAATAATGAACAATATCCCAACCCAAAAAAAATTTAAAAACAGATGTAAAAAAATACGAAAAAAAAGAAGAGAAAAAATACTATTATTTCATGTTTCCCGTCAAACCACACCCACCCACCTTCACCCCATGTTTCATTATCTTCCACGTCAAACCAAACCCACCGACCACCATCCCGCCACCCAAACCACCACCACCCACCACCACTCTGCTCCCAAAAACCACGCCGTCAAAGTCCTCAAATTGAAGATTCACCAGCTTCTTTTAGAATTTTACTAAAGAAACTGAGGGTTTTTTATGGCTGGTGGAGGAATTCGGGTTTTGGTCAGAGGTGAAGACAATCGTTTTGAAAATAGAAATCGGGATTGACATTTTCTGTTGAGGATTGTGTTAAGGACTAAATTAAAAATCTGAGATTGACGTTCCGATTTTGGGTTAATTTGGAGAGAGGAATTTTTTGAATATGGCAAGGATTGGATTGAAAATTTCGAAAACTTCATTTTGGGGCACATAATTTTTTGGGTTGAATTTGTAATTTTTAAAATTGATAATTGAAAGGTTATTTTAAGGCAATGTTTGGAAGCGTTTTGGATCTTATTTTGATTTCATTTTGAGGAAATATGTTTTGGGGGAATAATTTGAGAATGAAAGTAATGTTTGTTTGTATTTTGGAAGGAGACAAAATACACTGTAGAAGTCAAATCATGTTTAAATGTGTTAGAAAAAGGTATTTTTGAAGAAAAAAATTGAAAGATGAAGTGATGTTTATTTGTTTTTTAGTGAAGACATTTTTTACTGTAGCAGTCACATCATTTTACTGTAGCAGTCACATCATGTCTTAAGGAGAGAGAAACTTTTGAAATTGTTTTGAGAATATGATTTGAAAAGTGTAATAAATTTCATTTTGTTTTGGGGAAACAATGAAAACAAAATGGAAATGGTTCCAAACATTAGTTTTTTCGAGTTGAAAAGTACATCCCCAATCGCACAATCCGCGGGTGTTGTTAGACACAGCCACGGGCCGGTTTTGGGCCCGGAACCGGCCCGTTGACGAACCGGCCCAACCCGTTGACCGGTGAACCGGCCCGGGACCCGTGAACCGGCCCGTCGTCCCCGGGACGGGTCCGGTTCTATGAATTGGTGAACCGTGAACCGCCGGGACGGCCCGGCGGTTCACCCAAATTTAAAACAAAAAAATCAAAAAAATTCAAAAAAAAAAGCAAAAAACGGCCGGTGAACCGGCCCAGTGAACCGACCGTTTTTTGCTATTTTTTGAATTCCCCCCCCCCCCCATTTTTTCTTATAAATACCCTTACACCCCATTCTGTTTTTAAATTTTTTTTGTGTTGGGATATTTTTCATTATTTTTAATAAAGGGTAATTTTGTCATTTCTCTTAAGTCAACAGCCAAATATGAAATAAGGGGCAGTATGCTTTGTAAAAAATAATATAAGGGGATTCTTGCTAAAATTTGAGTACTTATAGGACTAAAACTCTACCTACTCAAACTTATAGGATCAAAACTCCAATTCTTGGAACTCCAATTTTCCTATATGTAGTCAGCAAAGTTAGGGTTGCAAACAAGTATTATTTCTCCGCCGTTGCCAGATCTCCTTGATGGCTGCGTTTCAACGTGATTCGATTTTTTTTTATTAATATTTATTTTTGGGACTATTAGTCATAACCCCCTCTAGTGTTTTTTTAATAATGGGGGATCCAGCCATATTTTCAATATTGGTAGGAAAT